CCCCGTGGAGTGTCCTCTTTTGGGACACTCCACATATGGTAACCCTAACCTCTGAGAACTACTGCACTACAGATAAATAACAACAGTAGTAGTTAAAGGCTACTGATTTTTCACTTAGATCTCCAAAACCCACCCTGTACTCTCTGCTCCCAACCACAAACACCCAGGTTCAAGACCTCATAATCTTCCATGCCAAATCACTGTAAGCTCCTATCTCCAGCCTCCGAATGCTCACCTCACCCCTTTCAATCTCTCCAGAGAGCAGCTATTACCCTGATTTTTATTTCACTCATTTCCCCTCATTGTCTGCATCAGGCTTAATTTCTGTGACCTCCCCTTCAAGGCTCTACTCAATTTAGGGACCACCCGCCATTTTTCTGTCCTCAACCCCTTTCAGTGAAAATTTGCAATCCCACAGACCTCACATCCAGCTGTATATGCAGCCAGTCTTGCCAGGGACTGTTTTCCTGAGCCTCCCACTCCTACGAGCAGCGCATGGCCACGATCCATCCGTATGACGCGATGCACGCGGGTTAAATGCTCCAAAGCATCATCAAAAAGCACCAGATTCATTTTCGTATTAACTTCATTGTACTCTTCAAGAATCTCCTTTAAAGCCAATTTGTTAGACAGTTAACAACAGAAATGGGAAATGCTGAAAAGGTTAATAAACAAACGTAATGTAATAATTTATTTAGAAGCATTATTACACAAAAGGACATTGAGAAAAAGTAGATTATCAAAAAGATTTTTGCATTTAGGATTTCTTCAGCTCATGGAATAGATAGATGGTCACTGATTTCTACTATTTCGTACCCAAACCTACTGCCAATGGAAACTATATGTGCATAACAAGGGGTGAATAGACTCCTTAATGGTTCCAAACAAGTTTACTTCACACAAAGAACAAACAAAAGCCTGCACTGGAATATTATGAAAAATGGGCACTATTTATTTACTTTGGAAATGTTTCAATCTCGTGGATAAATCTGTTTAAAATCTAATCCAAAATTGAGTTAAACTGAGTTACCTACACCTGTCCTTGAATCCCCCTACCAATTTTTCTTGCTTTACAATCAGTATTTTCCTATTTGTAAAATGTTTTTCTCTCCCCTTTCGCTATGTGAAAGACTCACACAAACAGCAGAGGAAACTACAACTCAATGAGGAAAGAGTGAAAATGACTATATGCAAAGCACTCTCACATCCACAAAGTAAACAAACTGATAAAATAGGGGGAAATGCTTTTGTCTCTCTAATCCTTTTCAGTTTGAGTACTCTCAGCTGTTATAAGTCACAAAAGGGGGAAAAATTCAGATTGAAATGTGACTTTTCTGTTGACAGCGTCCCTTAAAAAAACCCAACCCAAACTCATGTTTATAAAACTTGAATTACATACTGCATGTGAGCCCAGAATGTCTCCAACTTAGGTTTTAGTTAAATGTCAGAAAGCATACAGATTAAATGAAGTGAATACTACTTTTTTGTAGCTTTTAGTCCGGACAATTGTCGAAGTCTGAATGTACCACAGGTGGCATGGAGTCATAGAAATGTAGGCCTGTGAGGAACCTGGAGAGGTCATCTAGTCCATCCATCTATGTTAATAGCCACACCCACCTGAAGGGCAAACTGTTGTCAACTATGGGTATGTCGACACTGCAAATACAAACCCAAGCTGGCCTGTGCCAGCTGACTGGGGCTCAGAGGGCTTGGGCTAAGGGGCTGTTTAATTGCGGTGTAGATGTTTGAATTGGGCTGGAGCCCGAGCTCTGGGACCTCCCACCTCACAGGGTTCTAGAGCCCAGGCTTCAAACCTGAGCCCGAATGCCTACATTGCCATTAAACAGCCCCGCAAGCCCAAGCCCCGCTAGTACAAATCAGTTGGCACAGGCCAGTATGGGTTTTTATAGATATACCCTATTAGTTCATACAGACAGACTCATACACAGATGCTGGTTAAAGCACTATACCTGAAAGAGAGCTTTTGCTGCATCATAGTCCTGGATGTCTTCATAAACACGAGGTTCCTCTTCATTCAGTGCCATTCTGAAGTCTCCAAAGAGAATAGGGTCTCTCATAGCCTGCTCTAAATCATCTTTGTAATGCTCTTGAATCAAGCCTCGTATATGCTCTTGTACCTTGAAGTATATCAGAGCAAACAGGTAAAATGATGCAAGGAGTTCTGAATTCAGGAACACTAGAAGGGCCTGATCCTGCAAACTCTTACCCATGAGCTATTTGATTGATTTCAATGAAGCTACTGGCACAAATACAACATTTGCCGGATCGGACTCTACTAGCATTGTGAGTTTATCCTCTAAAACCATGCAGTATATACAAGCAGCCCAGGCACTACTGATACCAGTGAGCTGCACAGGTTTAACAGAGAGCAGAATATGCCCATTATAAAAAACACTATCATTATTCTGGTAAAATCACATACCATCCTTCACTCTTATAGTTAGTTCTGATGTCATGCCACCAGCGTCGCCAAGAGTTCATTCACTCTTGTAATACATAATGTAGACACATACTGTATACAGCACACACATATGCATATAAATATAAATGCATTTATACACACATACATTATATAGTATTGGATGCAAACATATCAAAGTGTAAGGAGATTTAGAACATCAAAATATTTTTTCTTATTCCAATATTTTATGGTATTACACAAGAAATTGTGAGCTCCCCATCCTGCAGCCCTTGCAGAGACAAAATTTCCATTGGGTCAGTGTATAGCTGCCTGCCTAACTTCATAGTTTTTAATACTGATTTTCACCAGTTTATCTCAGCGGCTGATGCTAACCCTTAATCAGGTAAAACTCACGATTGGGACTGGTAAGCTTCAGGACTCAATACTGCAGAGCTATATTGAGATGATGGTTACCATGCCAATGAAGCATAGAGTCACAGAGTTTAAGGCCAGAAAGTCATCTAGGATGACCTCTTGTAGATGCATGAGTAGTTCATGGAGTCAGCAGAAGCCTAACACACATGCAGCACCTCATTCAGCTTTCCAGTGCTATGTTTTATATATCTAATGCCTGTAATGCCCAGAAGTCTGTAACGTCACAGTAAAATCACAGATTAAATGACCTTTTGGCCGTCTGTGGGTTTGTTCACTTATTCTTTTGCAGCCAGTTGCTAACCTTTTTCATGGTTTTCACATCAGTGGGCTATGTTTAAATCAATTACATAGATTGAACTGGAGTGATGCAGTGGTGAATCAGGCCTGCAGTTTGATTTCAAGACTGTAGTGGAACAGTTGTTAACATTACTATTTTAAACTAATTCCCATATTAATATAAATGATTACTAGTAAATGGAAGAAGTTACTCACCAGTGTCTTGTCTACTTCATTGATCAATCTGTCATGGAAAACTCTCAGGCACTCATTTCTCCAGACTCGCACCATCTGTGTGACTGTTTGGAACCTATATCGAAGTTAAAGTATCAGACTGCACCAAATCAGTGGACACAACAAATACGGTCATGTGGTTAATAGACTGTATTCAAATCAGGACTTGTTTCCTTTTTCACTGGAAAGAGTAACTTTATCTACAGAGATCATATTTTACAGTGTTTGTCATCAGGAACAATATCACAATTCAGGATTTTCTAAACTTCTTTACTCCCCTAAGTGATGTATCTATAATGAAAGGCAAAACAGAGATAACTGCATCTATGCATTGGTTCTTTTTTTACGTACCTGAAAAACAAAAGAGATCTACATAGCTTTTCACATAGCCCAATCACTGATTAATTTTATCCTCAATTTAATTTGATTAAAACCTCAGTAATCAAATACTTTTACTTTTACCCTTCATTCTCAGCAATGCTGTTCAGGCAAAAGTACTGGTTAATTTGACTATAAAAAGTTCCCATTTAGGTCCCAATTCAGCAAAACATTTAATCATATGCTTCAATTTGTCCTAGTCAACAAATCACTTAAGCACATGCATGTGCTTAAACCCCACTGACTGAAGTACAGGCCTAAAGTTTTGTGCTTAAGTACTTTGCTGAACTGTGTTGGGCTGCTGAATCAGAGCCTTAATTATTAAAGAAAAGGCCACAACACTTAATGGGACAGAAGAAAAAAGAGTCAATGATATTCAAAGATGCTTTACAGACATTTGTTACTGACTTCATTAGCACTGCCGTGCACTATGCAACCTGGAGGTCAGGTGGATAACAAGATAAACCATTAATTTACTCAAAGTAATAGGATGCAACTTGAAATAAGAAAAAGGCATTGCAATCAAAATTAAGATCAAAGAAGCCGGGTAGCTAAAAGTAAGTATTGACACAGCATCCATAACCTATGCCATTACAGATAGGCAAAAGCATATTGACATGGGTTGACTTAAATGTCAGTCTTAAACGGGTCATAACTGAACAGCTGAGAATTATGCTAGAGCGAAGAACTCTCAGCTGGGGTAAAGCTGGCAGAACAGACTCCTGACCAAGTGCCCCCCTTACCCTGGCATGGAGGGTGTGTCAGGAAAAGAAAGTGGTGTATCAGAGCACAGTGATCCTCAGATGGCATGCAGTTTCTTAGGGACTATATGCTGCTGGAAATAAATCAGAGAAGCTCCTAGACCTCTCTAACTCACACAACAGCTGAGAATGGTCCAGACACCCCCTTACTATCAGGAAGCTGTATCTGACTCCCTGATGCCCAGCTCTCCTGAGCAAAGCACAGCTCAGCTGCAGGAGAAAAGCTACCCCTTATTATATCCTATTTATGTGACTGCTACATGTGGGTTTTTTCCAGATAGCAAAACTGCCTCCCACTGGGCCAGATCATAAATGAGTGTAGTTCCAGTGAAGTCAATATTTATAAACATTTTTTCTCCACTTACCGCTCTGGGGTTGTAAGAACAAGTCCATTGTAGACCCTGGAGAGATCACGCAGATTAAAAATATAATGGAATTTGGAAGGAGTTGGGGGTAGATCCCGGACAATCGCTTTATAAAGTTCCAAAGTACAGAACGTCATCTTGTCAGCGATCGCTGTTATAGAGTCATTAAAAATCTGCAAACATGAGAAAGGCAAGACTTCTTCACGAGACTGATCGGGGAGAAATGTGTTTCATCAAACATACTCCACTTTCCTACTTTTCTACCCCTACTTGATAGATTAAAAATAAGTCAGTGCAAGATAAAATGTTCTTCAGAAATTCAGTGTATCATGTAACATGTGCATCTGACATTTAGTCTAGCTATTTTATTATTTAGATTGTAAACTCTTTCGTGCAGAGACCATCTTTTTGTTCTGTGTTTGTACAGCACCTAGCACAATGGGGTTCTGGTCCGATGACTGGTGCTCCTAGGCACTATCGCAATACGGATAATAAATAATATTCTCATATATAAAATTGCAATTTCATGTGCTCAGTGATGCAGTTTAATGCATTATATTTAATTTTCTGTGTTTCTTTTCAAGTCAATATTTTGTAGATCTTTGTGCATTTACAGTAACTGGCTATAGACAGCTATGAAAACCATCAATTTACAAATTATCTTCTGGCTTAAAAGTCTATTGCCCAATATGTATCAATTCAGCACAAGATGATCACTCTTTACTAATTTTTTACTAGCAACGTTCTTTGAGCAGCTACAAAAAAACACTTACTTTATAGAGAATTTCAGGGTGGGTTTTCTTTTCCGATTTTAATAACTATTTGAAGACCAATAAACACATTTAAAAAGCCCACTACAAGGAGAAAGGAAAGAGAACGGAAAGGAGAAGAGAAAAGCGTATAAGGTTCTAAAATGAATCAGAATAATTAATGTGGAGAAGTGACAATGATATGCAAAACTGTTTGTCAGCAGCAACATGGAGCCTGATCCAAAAGTCTACATTGAAGTCAACGGAAAGACTCCCATGATTTCAGTGCGTCTGTGGACGAGGACCATGGTGGCTAACAAAATCTCTTAGTAGAGTGATAGCAATATTGCCAATCTGAAGTGTGGCATTATGATTTGCTATGACTTCACAACACTTTGCCTTCCCAGGCAAGTTATTCCCTATTTGGAGCCAAATTCTTCCCTTGGATAAATGCATGAGGCTCTCCCAACTTGAATGAAGACCCAGGAAAGTATCTGAGTGCCCATTAATAAGAGTCACCAAGCTGTAAGGGAAAGATTGGCCACAAACGGGAAGATGGGAAATCATTAAAAGAAACACTTTCAAGTTCTGTAATTTCATGGAAAATAAAACTAATTAAATAACAATCCTACGAAGCCTTTTAAATAAATTCAAATTACCTCAGTGTGACCTTTCAGGATGGAGGCATAAATCAAATGCAAAGATGCCTCAGAAGGAAAAGGTACATTGAAAACACTGAAGAGTGAAATGAATCGAGGGTCAACTTCATTACGACCTCCTCCAGCTTTGCCCATGGCAGCAATAAAACCAAGGTCTCGAAGACTCTTACAATTCATCTCCTTACCACGGTCATATAAGGAACCTTTTTCCAAGAGCAACTTCAACAAGGCAATTGGTTGCTGTGTACCATATTCATCAACCTTTGTAAAATGAAAGAGCCAACATATTTCAATCACAGCATGTCTGAGTTGCCTGTAACTACTTTGAGCAGAAAATCATTGGCTCCATATTCAATAGAACATTATCATGTCTAAAGGACATTTTGTAGGGCTTTGGGCACTGATTATCCTCGCTCATTCTGATTGTTTCCGGTGGGGAAAGCACCTCATGTTGCTGATGAGTGACATACACATACACCCCTGCCAAACTTTTGGAGAGATATGGATGGGTTCTAAGGAAGTCACATCCCGCCAATGTCAACCAGAGGGAGGGTCAGTGTGTCACAGGAATTTTAAGGGCAAGAAGAAAGGAAGATCCTAATGACAAAAGAGGCCACCATGGACAAATCTGCCACCATGGACAAAACTTCAGTTTGATGGTCCCCTTCTTATAGGCCTAGGGCAGCAGATTTGGCCCAGCCATCCCTCTGTCATGATGAAGGGGTTGCTGGGCCAAATTTGGGTGAGTGGCATTGCAACCTTGCACACTGAGTCACAATGCCACTCAAATTTGACCCAGCCACCCCTCTATCCTGGGGGGGCCCTAGGCAGCTGCCTAGTTTGAATATAGATAGAGCAGGGGTCGGCAACCTTTCAGAAGTGGTGTGCCGAGTCTTCATTTATTCACTCTAGGTTTCGCATGCCGGTAATACATTTTAACGTTTTTAGAAGGTCTCTCTCTATAAGTCTATAAACTATTGTTGTATGTAAAGTAAACAAGTTTTTAAAAATGTTTAAGAAGCTCCATTTAAAATTAAATTAAAATGCAGATCTTATCAGTTTAGTGCAGTGGTTCTTAACCTGGGGTGCATGCAGGAGGGCCGGTGCAAGGATATTTTGCGCCCTCGGCGAAACTTCCACCTTGCGCTCCCCACCCCCCTCCTGCCGGCCTGGGGTTCCGTTCACTCAGCCGGCAGCGGGCTGAGCGGGGCCAGCGGCCGGGACCCCGTCTGGCAGCCACGTGCCAGGCAAAATCGGCTCGCGTGCCACCTTTGGCACGCATGCAGTAGATTGCCGACCCCTGAGATAGAGCGACCCCGGGATAGCAGCCTATCCATCAAAAAAAGATACATGTTTAAAGTTTAAGAGTGATATTGTAATAGCACTGAAATATGCCACGGTGCTCAGAGGTCCAAACCTTAGAAATTGGAAGGTACAAAGCTGAAGTCCAAGCGTGTATAATGAACCCGGTTGGACTTGTGCATTAATGGACCACAAGAATGCAGCCTATCATCTTCTTATGTTATATTGCAAACAGGATGGCAGCTTACCCTTGGCATGTTCATATCATCCATGAAAACCAGGAGGCGCTTTCCCATAGGGGGCCCATAAGTATCCTTAGTACGTTTCTCTACATTTGCTTCCAAGTTTCTCTGAATATCCATTGATGTTGTACGAGAAGAGAAGTTAATTATTAGCAGCACCTATACAGGAAGAAAAAACTTGATCAAAATGTTTTTTTTTTAAATATTTTAAATGGCATTTTTTAGACAATGTTCTTCACATTTGACAATATGAAAAAAATAGCACACCAGCTGTACATTAAACACCATTCTGGTCTGGCTATTCACTTAGAATATAGCCGGTATCATTCTGGGGGTTCAGTAAGACCCCAAGATGATCATTTGATAAACGCATTTTTACCTTATAAAAAACTGAAGCCCTATTTAAGAATAACTACATTAATTCAATGCCTTTGATCCTGAAGGATCCCAAAATATTTTAGATACTTAGGACCTTGCAGTCAGAACCCTGCATCCAAGTGGAGCCTCATTGAAGTCAAGGGAGCTGTGCACAGACTCAGGGCCCTACCAGTGCAAATCCAGTTGTTGAATCCGGGTTTTAAACTGGAGGTATTATTTCACCCGCCACTGAAATGCAGCCACCTCTGGGGTGAAATGCAACTATTTAACAACATACAACATGAGAAAGAGGAAGACACAAGTTTTATAAACAGAACAGAATCCACGAGTACATACATTAGTGTCTTGGTTTAGGTTTTTTAGAAATGTTTGTGTAGTTGCAGTCTTAGAAGTGCCAGATTCACCAACAAGAACAACAGGGTGTTTGATTTTTACCATCTGTTCTAACAACCATGTAGTGCGTGTTGTATCCACAGTAGGAACTATTAAAAAAAAAGAGTAAAAGATCAATTTAAAATGCAGCAGAGCTGGAGGTTTTGCATATGTAATGATGGCGCAAACCCATACTGTGTTAATATACTGCAGCATAAAAAGTGTAATCTGAAACAGCAGATAAGTAACCGTATTTAAGAACAACCTTAATTGCACAACCCTCTCTTTTCAACATTTATTGTGGAAACTTTATTCATATGTGTTGAAATGGATTACATTCACCCCATGCACAGATCCAGCAAAAAGCTCGTGCACCATTTAAGCCCCACTGAACCCCTATTTTGAGGATTTACCTGGGATTTATGAAGGCCTTTTGCTAGAGCTCTGCAGAAGTGAATTTTGCACTGTGTGACTAGATTGAAGTTATTAGGGATAACTTTAGTGGCCAGATAATTTATTTGTGTTTTCAGTGAAGTTAACATGTACTTGCTGAATTATTACTATAAAATTATATGCATTACTTTGTCATAACTGTACAACTCACTTGTCACTACTTTATTATGCTGGCATAACAACAGATATTGTATTACGGGATTTCATGATAGGTTACTTTTTACTCTGACTAGGCAATTGAGCCAGGATCTGTGATTTTCCTGGCTTGTCTACCCCTGGGAGACTGTGGTTGTTTTTTTTCCCACTGGTTCAGCAACTCCCTACTTTTTACCTTAGTAGTAATGCAAAACATGGTTCCTAACAATCCTTAAAAGATGAACTGTGAACTAACTCATTTTTTATCCATCCCCTACTGCTTCTTTATTATATATAAAGATGGCCTGACAGTGTTCTTTTTTTCCTTGTCCTTTACATTACGATGTATCATGAATATCAGTTTTCCACATTCCTCATTTTACTGAAGGGTTTTGACAAGATCCTTGAAGAACCTGAAGGGTGACATCCCACAAGGCTGAAGCTGCCACTGAGAGGGAAGAGGTGTTGAATCTCAGGCTATGCCTACATTTAAAACTCTACAGTGCCACAGCTGCAGCTGCACCAATGCAGCACTTCAATGTAAAAAACTTACTACCGCAACGGGAGGGGTTCTCCCGTCGCTGTAGTTAAACCATCTACCCAAGAGGCAGTAGCTAGTTGGACTGAAGAATCAACCTAGTGCTGTCTACTCGGGGACTTAGATCGGCTTAACTATGTCACTCAGCAGGGTGTGAATTATTCACAATCCTGAGTGACGTGTAGATGTGTAGACTAGCCCAGCTGTCTAATTATGATGTCACCATTCAAACCCTCCTAAGACCTTGCTGGAGTCCTCCAGCATGAAGAAGGATATCAAAGCCTATTACTTCTAATGGGAAAAACAGGCAAAAAAAGAAAAACCGCTTCCAGTAAACTTTAAGGCTATTGTTGTATATCACAAAGGAGCAGTAAAGAGCAAAATAATTTTTTTTGCCTTGTTATTCATCTTCACTTCCTGAATGAAACATCCCAAAATGGAATCTTGCACTGCACAGGTTATTTACTGCTAGATGGCTATAGATAGCACATTTTAGATTAAAGGATAGCAACACTTACCTAGAATGTCAATAAATTTCACATCAAGTTTATGGAAGTATTCAGGAACTAGTTTGCTCCAAGGTACCCACTTTTTTTGACACCCATCAAAATGAAAGTCATACAAAGTTGGAAGCTGACCTGCAATATACAATGTGGTTCTCATTTAACAACTGAAGATCATCTGGGACATAGAAATATTTCAGGAGAAACATCATTTGACTAAGATAAATGTGCACGGTGAGATTTTGTAATAAGAGGTGCAGCACAGAACTCGCAGCCTGAGGGAGTGTCCTATCATATCTTTAAGTCACTTTGGTGCCCTCCCGATCTTGGGTTACTCCAGGGGCTAGAGAGGCCTTGATGGCCTCTCTAAGTCATTTGAGAGACAAGGTGGGTGAGGTAATATATTTTATTGGACCAACTTCTGTTGGTGAGAGAGACAAGCTTTCAAGCTCATACACAGCTCTGCTTCAGGCCACCTCTCTGTAGGCTTGAAAACTTGTGTCTCTCACCAATAGAATTTGATCCAATAAAAGGTATTGCCTCACCCACCTTGTCGCTCTAATATCCTGGGACCAACATGGCTATAACAATGCTGCATGTCTACATTATTGCAGTCTCCCCAGACTTCCCACGGCCATAGTGATCGCTGCCTAGAGTCTCTGCAGCGCTGAGTGCTGAGGCCTCCCCGACATGCCGTTCCTACCCCAGCCCCCAGAACACCACTATCCCAGGACTTGCAAGGGGGACCCTCAGGAGCAGCCTTGTGGCTGTCTTCCACAGTGCCTCCTGCCTGGGCAATCCTCCCCTGGGTGGAACTCTTCTCAGAGAGTGGGTCAGTACTTGAGAGTCATTCAAATTCAATAGTAGCAGATGGCTCTCAATGACAGTCCTTCAAAGAGGTGTCAAAAACACCTTTCCAGCGCAAGGCAGATGTCTGGAGTGCAGAACAACACGCTGCCCTCAGGCAAGTTTAGACATGATGTTCAACACACCTTGTATTTAGCTGTGACACTCTGAGTACATTTCCCAGACCTGAAGAAGAGCTCTGTGTAGCTCAAAAGCTTGTCTCTCCCACCAACAGAAGTTGGTCCAATAAAAGATATTACCTCACCCACCTTGTCTCTCTAATATCCTGCATACAACATACAGGGCCGGCTCCAGCTTTTTTGCTACCCCAAGCGGTGAAGAAGGAAAAGAAAGAAAAGAAAAGAAAAACCAGAGCCGCCCAGAGAGGGGGGCAAGTGGGGCAATTTGCCCCAGACCCCACAGGGGCCCCCAGGAGAATACAGTATTCTGTGGTATTGCAACTTTTTTTTAATGGAAGGGGCCCCCAAAATTGCTTTGCCCCAGGCCCCCTGAATTCTCTGGGCGGCCCTGAGAAAAACCCGATTGAGCTGCCGCCGAAGTGCCGCTGAAGACGAAGAGAGTGAGTGAAGGACCTGACGCCGAACTGCCACCGCAGACCCGGACATGCCGCCCCAACGACGGATGTAGTGCCACCCCTTTCTATTGGCCGCCCCAGGCACCTGCTTCCTTCGCTGGTGCCTGGAGCCGGCCTTGACAACATACAATACGAACTCTTTGATACAGGCATATCCCACTCTGTTACATTGTTTTCTTTTAAAACAAGGGAAGTGTCTCAGACTGAATTATAAATGACAAAATCCTACCTGGCAGTTCCCCTGGTTTAGCCATGACATTATCATCTTGAACCATTGACATTGAGGAAATACGTTTAATACTTTCATCAAATTTAATTCTTCCTGTATCAAGCAGCGTAGCACCTAAAGAGGAATATAAAGCTTCCAGGAAGTAGCACTCCAGAACATCAGGATCATCGGGTTCCAGCACTACTACGGCTTCCAGCATCATAGTCAACTGCATCACCTGTGGTAGAAAATTGAGAAACAATGGCTTCAGATGAAGTTCAGCATTATGATGACTTTTAATATGCCTTCTTTTCTTTTCATGCCTTTGGGGCAAGGCAATATATTCAAATATGTTGTGATGATTTGTGTGCATATAGGTGTGTGTCTGCTAATATAGGTATTCATTAAAGTAAAAGAATAGTGTTAGCAACTGACTGTCTTTATTATAGTGGGAATAGAGGCATATTTTGTCTAGTTGTCATACTGAGGAACACTTTGGTTTCACCACTGTCATTGGCTTGCTGTGTAAACTTAGGAAAGTTATGTACCCCCTCTGTGCCTCAGTTTCCCCTTCTGTAGAAGCGTTCTTAAACAATACTCTTTATATCTTACCATATTTAAATCTGTTTGGGGAACAATGGTTTTCAGCTTCTCTCCTTGCTTGCCATCCACAATTCCTTCTACAATCATATCGATAAGGTATGGTACATATTTTTCAAAGAGACGATTTAACGCAACTTGTTCTTGCTGAGAAAAAAGAGATAGGACACAGCCACATAGAAACATTAAAAGCCAGTTTGCTACCTAACCAACTGTAACTAGTCTTAGGGTATGTCTACACTACGAGAGTAGTTCGATTTTAGTTAAATCGAATATGTGCAATCGATATTAGAAAGTCGAACGTGTGTGTCTACACTAAGGACAGTAATTCGACTTTGTCAGTCCACACTACCAGGGAAAGCGTCGACATTGGAAGCAGTGCACTGTGGGCAGCTATCCCACAGTTCCCGCAGTCCCCGCCGCCCATTGGAATTCTGGGTCGAGCCCCCAATGCCTTCTGGGTAAAAAAATGTGGCGAGGGTGCTTTTGGGTAACTGTCGTCATCCGTCAGTCACTACCGCCCTGCCTCCCTCCCTGAAAGCGCCGGCGGGAAATCAGTTCGCGCACTTTTTGATCAGTGACAGCGCGGACGCCACAGCACTGCGATCATGGATCCCGCTGCGACCATCGCTGCAGTTGTGGCCGTTCTCAACGCCTCGCACCTTATCATACACCTTTCCCAGAGGCAGATGCAGAGAAATCAGGCGAGGAGGCTACGGCACCGCCGTGAGGGCCTGAAGTCGGAGAGTAGCACAGAGCTGTCAGAAACCACGAGCCCCAGCGCCCAGGACATCACGGTGGCAATGGGTCATGTGGATATTGTGGAACGGCGATTCTGGGCCCGGGAAACAAGCACGGACTGGTGGGACCGCATAGTGCTTCAGGTCTGGGATGAATCCCAGTGGCTGCGAAACTTTCGCATGCGGAAGGGGACTTTCCTCGAACTTTGTGAGTTGCTGTCCCCTGCCCTGAAGCGCAAGGACACCCGCATGCGAGCAGCCCTGACTGTCCAGAAGCGAGTGGCCATAGCCCTCTGGAAGCTTGCAACGCTGGACAGCTACCGGTCAGTCGCGAACCACTTTGGCGTGGGCAAATCTACCGTGGGGGTTGTTGTCCTGCAAGTAGCCAAGGCAATCGTCAAGGTACTGCTGTCAAAGGTAGTGACTCTGGGAAACGCGCAGGCCATCATAGATGGCTTCGCTGCGATGGGATTCCCAAACTGCGGTGGGGCTATAGATGGGACTCACATCCTTATCCTGGGACCGGGCCACCAGGCCAGCCAGTACATCAATAGAAAGGGCTACTTTTCAATGGTGCTGCAAGCACTGGTGGACCATCGGGGACGGTTTACAAACATCTACGTCGGATGGCCGGGCAAGGTTCATGACGCTCGCGTGTTCAGGAACTCTGGTCTGTTTAGACGGCTGCAGGAAGGTATTTACTTCCCGGACCACAAGATAACTGTTGGGGATGTGGAGATGCCTACAGTGATCCTCGGGGACCCAGCCTACCCGCTAATGCCCTGGCTCATGAAGCCCTATACTGGCGCCCTGGACACAGAAAAAGAACTGTTCAACTACCGGCTGAGCAAGTGCAGAATGGTGGTGGAGTGTGCTTTTGGCCGTCTCAAGGGGAGATGGAGAAGCTTACTCACTCGCTGTGATCTCAGCGAAACCAATATCCCCATCGTTATTGCAGCTTGCTGTGTGCTCCACAATCTCTGTGAGAGCAAGGGGGAGACCTTTATGGCGGGGTGGGAGGTTGAGGCAAATAGCCTGGCTGCTGATTACGCCCAGCCAGACAGCCGGGCGATTAGAAGAGCCCAGCGGGACGCGCTGTGCATAAGGGAGGCTTTGAAAGCCAGTTTCAAGGCTGAGCAGGGTACCCAGTGACTTTTAAGTTTGTGGACACAGAAGCTGAACTTGTCCCCGTTTCTTTACCCAGTTGCCGTCGACTATCCTCTCCAGTTACATACCCCCTTCACCCCCTTCCCAAAAAATAAAATCTGTTCTGTTTTGTTAATGGACACCGTTGTCTTTATTACTGTTTTCGCGGGAATGTTTTAAACCTGGGACGCAGACTGTGGCGGGGGGCGGGTTTAGTGTTGTGATGCAAATGATGCTTCTAAACTCCAGGAATGACAGGCTCCGCGGTGGTGGACTGGTTGTTTCAACGGAGCCTGCCAGCCCTCCTGGCCGGGACTGCGTGTATGTGTCGGCTATGTGACTGTCTTGCAGGGGGAGGAGGGTTACAGATCCCCTGCTGCGCGGCTCTGTGATCCAGGGTAAGGACCGCTGCATAAGATCTGTAACTGCCCTCCCCCGCCACCAAGTCACAGAGCAACACCACCCCCCCCCCCACCACACAGAACATGAAAACCACCTCCCAGACTGACCAGGATAACTAGTCACTGCACTGTATATGTGCCCTGCTGCTGCACCTGCCCCCTGCTAAAGGTGACTGTCCTGTCCAATGACCAAGCCCCTTCCCCCCCCTTCAGACAGACTCTCCTCCAAAAGAAGAGGATGGAAACAGTAATGAACAGAAACGTATTCTTTATTAACAACCGCACATGGAACGGGGGGGTGAAACTTGGACGGGGTCTTGTGTGAGGCGGGTAGGAAAGGACTTTTCAAATTTTGGGGAATGAGAGCCTTCTAGTGGTAGAGCAGTCCGCAGGGGTGGAGTGAAATTTTTCACGGCCCCTTCCGCCCCTCCGTGTTTGGACTTTGGGTGAGGGGGGTATGGGACTTGGTGGCGGGGCAGGGCAGTTAGAGAGAGACTGCAGCGGGGCTCTCTCCTCCTGCCTCCGGTCCTGCAGAACATCCACAAGGCGGCGGAGCGTGTCCGTTTGCTCCCTCATTAGTCCAAGCAGCGTTTGAGTAGCCTGCCTGTCCTCCTGTCGCCACCTCTCCTCCCGTTCAATGTTTGCCCGGTGCATTTGGGACAAGTTCTCCCTCCACTGTGTCTGCTGGGCTGCCTGTGCTCGGGAGCATCCCATTAGTTCAGCAAACATGTCTTCCCGTGTCCTCTTCTTCCTCCTCCTAATGTGCGCTAGCCTCTGGGCAGATGTGGCTGTGGGAATTGGAAAAAGGGAGTGAATTCCTGAGACAGATCAATGTATCTGTGAACAGAGAACATAGTCTTTCTCTGTGAACAAGACCATGCAGAGCACCTATCACACGCGCACTGAGGACAAGGTCGAATTTTCGGCCCTCGCCTACAGTGCCTGCGGTCTTGCTGTGGCGAGCTGAGGAGCAGGGCAGGACACCGGACTTTGTCTAGATGGCAAACATGGTAAGCCGTAGACTTGTGGCTGCTTAAAACTTTAAGAGTGGCACTGGCCTCCTTTCACATAGAAAGCAATGCGAGTCTCTGCTGGCAGCAATCCTGCAAGCATGAACTCTGCCCCTGTCCCAGCCCCTCGCGGCTGTAAACCGCGTGGCTGTAAACCGGCGGTTGCAGTTCTGTAAAGGGACGGGCAAGCAGTCCCAATACTAACTTTCCCCTACCTAATTCACAGCAGGGAGTCATGCCAGACATCACCCTCCTGAAGGTCTCGGAGAGCCAGAAGGAGCGGATGCTTCGTGACAGCCTGCAGAAACCGGGGCCATTTGCTGCAATGCTCTGCAAGGCCATGATCCCCGAGTACCTGCTGGCGTTGTGGCAGGGAAACGTGTCCTACCACGGGGGGCCTAATAAGCTCTCCCTGCCCAGGAACCTGCTCATGAGGCTTGAAAAACACCTGCAGGAGGCCTATGAGGAGTTCTCCCCGGAGGATGTCGCCTCAATCCCCGGATACATTGACCAGTTTTTGGCTTAGGTGCCCTTGGAGGGACAAAAGAGTGCAGCGTTTTGGGCACTATAATCATGAAGCGGACATTGTGAAATTTTTTGAAAATAGTTCGGACTATATATTGAAGCGCCCAAAGACAGACTAATCATGATACACTTTGCACAGATTCCCGTTTTGTTGGACTTTCCTGTTTACATGTTTTGAAGCACTTTACCCACTGTTAATATTTTAAATCTTCCTGTTCTGTTGTAAATAAATGTTTACATGTTTTAAAGCACTTTAGCTATTGTTAATATTTTAAATATGCCAGTTATGTTATAAATAAATGTTTAGATATTTAAAACACTTACTGCTTGATCCTTCCCCTGAATCTGTGTCTGGGATAACGGCTGGGGAGGGTTGGTAGGGGATCTCTGTGAGGGTGATGAAGAGCTCCTGGCTGTCGGGCAAATCAGCGTTGTAAGCGCTGTCTACTGCTTCATCCTCCTCATCTCCTTCCTCCTCTTCCCCGTCCGCTGAGGAACCGGCCGCGGACAATATCCCATCCTCAGAGTCCACGGTCAGGGGTGGGGTAGTGGTGGCGGCCGCACCTAGGATGGAATGCAGTGCCTCGTAGAAACGGGATGTGTGGGGCTGGGATCCGGAGCGTCCGTTTGCCTCTTTGGTCTTCTGGTAGCCTTGTCTCAGCTCCTTGATTTTCACGCGGCATTGCGTTGCATCCCGGCTGTATCCTCTCTCTGCCATGGCTTTAGAGATCTTCTCATAGGTCTTTGCATTCCGTCTTTTGGAGCGCAGCTCGGAAAGCACGGACTCATCTCCCCACACAGCGATGAGATCCAAGACTTCCCGATCCGTCCATGCTGGGGCCCTCTTTCTATTAGATTGCACGGCCATCTCTGCTGGAGAGCTCTGCATCGTTGCCACTGCTGCTGAGCTCGCCACGGTGTCAAAACAGAAACTGCGATTCAAACTGCCCAGACAGGAAAAGGAATTCAAATTTTCCCGGGGTGTGGCTGGTCAGAGCATCCGAGCTCGGACTGCTGTCCAGAGCGTCAACAGAGTGGTGCACTGTGGGATAGCTCCCGGAGCTACTAGCGTCGAATTCCATCCACACCTAGCCTAATTCGACATGGCCATGTCGAATTTAGCGCTACTCCTCTCGTTGGGGAGGATTACAGAAATCGATTTAAAGAGAGCTCTATGTCGAACTAAATGGCTTCCTGGTGTGGACGGGTGCAGGGTTAATTCGATATAACGGCGCTAAATTCGACATAAAAGCCTAGTGTAGACCAGGCCTTAGGATTTGTCTAAGCAGCCCGACAATTTGGACTATGAGGGTATGAAATGCAGCACACACTAGCATCCTGCGGTCTAACTGTCCTGTGTGGATGCTGTGGGTGTGAATGAAAAGGTATCTAACGGTATGTCTACACTAGGAAATTAGGTCGAATTTATAGAAGTCCATCTTTAGAAAGCGATTTTATACAGTTGATCATGTATGTCCCCACTAAGCGCAGTAGGTCGGCGGAATGCGTCCTCAATACCGTGGCTAGCATTGACTCACGGCGTGGTGCACTGTGGGTAGCTATCCCACAGTCCCCGCTGCCCATTGGAATTCTGGGTTAAGCTCCCAATGCCTGATGGGGCAAAAACATTGTTGCAGGTGGTTTTGGGTACATGTCGTCAGTCTCCCCTCTTTCTTTCCCTCCCTCCTTGAACGCAATGGCAAACAATCGTTTCGCGCCTTTTTTCCTGGATTACCTGTGCAGACGCCATAGCACAGCAAGGATGGAGCCCACTCAGCTCACCGCTGCTGTTGTGAGCATTGTAAATACCTCGCGCATTATCCTGCAGGATGTGCAGAACCCGGCTATGAAACGACAGCACGAGGACGATTGTGAGGAGGACATGGACACAGACGTTCCTGAAAGCACGGGCTGTTGCAATTGGGACAGCATGGCAGCAGTGGGGCAGGTTGATACAGTGAAACGCCGATTCTGGGCCAGGCAAACAAGCACAGACTGGTGGGACCGCATAGTGTTGCAGGTATGGGATGATTCCCAGTGGCTGCGCAACTTTCGCATGCGTAAGCCCACTTTCATGGAACTGTATGAGTTGCTTTCCCCTGCCCTGAAGTGCAGGAATACCAAGATGAGACCTGCCCTGACTGTTGAGAAGCGAGTGGCGATAGCCCTGTGGAAGCTTGCAATGCCTGACTGCTACTGGTCAGTTGGGAATCAATTTGGAGTGGGCAAATCTACTATGGGGACTGCCTGAGAGGCGTACTTATACCAAAGTAAATTCCTAGTGCAGTCCAGGCCTTGGTATAACATAAAGCCCTCTTCAAAGCAACATGCACCATATTACATAAGCAGGGGTCATGGATTCACTATTTTATAATATGAATCAGTTCATTCTTATGATAATTTTTGACTTTTATTCTGGAAATCAAGAACCTCTCGCTGATCTGTTTTTATATTATTTGTTTCCACACCAAAGAATTAAAGGTTAACATGCTCATTTTCTTACAGCTCTAATCAAACTTGGTAACAGTGATCTGTATGACAAATGAATTCTAAAGAAATTCAGCCAATGAAGTTGCCACAATTTATATTCTATATTCAGATAACAGTTTCTGAAATCATTATCTTATCAACACCAGCAATTTTCTACCTTGTTTCCTCTCTGGTTAAGCCATTTCTGCCAGTACGGCTTATATTTCAAGTTTTTAGGATCTACAAAGACCATCCCACAACGGGATACGGTAGCAGGAGATGCATACTGTAAGTCTCCAACCTAGAAAACAAAGTTGCAATGATGGCCATAAATAACTTGAAACCATGAAGAGCAGTTGAAGCTCCTGCTTTTCAGAATCTGCAGCGCCAGATGGAGTTAACCCTTTATTTGTTGTTAAATGATGTGGTCATTACTCACCTCAAATAACAGAGCACAGTGAGCCTGCAGCCTGATGCGCTCCCCATTGGCCAAGGTTAACAACTTGTTATCATCCATTACAGAATTCATATTTTCCACCCAGAGAGCATCCACATCTCCATCAAATAAAATGTACCTGTAGACATGTCAGACAAAGAGACGTTAGATAAACAGTGATTCATCTTCAATAGTCCCCTCATGTTTTGAAATTAACAAGGCACAGTCTATCCATTTATTTCCTTTTTTAAGTACTATCATCATCATCAAAGATGTTAGCTCAATTTTAGGATAAGGATATGAATTAACCCAAATGGAAGAGATTTAAAGGCTCTCTTGCCCTTTCCTTCAACCTGCCTAGTTCCCATTCACCTTACTAGGAGTACTGAGCTCACATTAACAGACTGCTACACCTCTACAGGCTCAATTCATACAAAATTTGTTTTTGAGGTTGCTTGCCTGCTGAGGCTCAGGCATTCTTCTGCCCACATACCAGAGAAAGATGTTCTCCTTGGGCCTGACCCAAAGTCCACTGACTTTACAGTATATCCACCTTGGAAAAAGCTGCCTAGTGGTGGGGAAAAGAACACCGAATGTGTGGCACCACATGTGACGGGAGAGGACTGAATCTCTACTTGGAAGTTATGGTATACAATAGGGCAGACGTAGAGAGCTCATGGGCAGATCTCCCCAACCCGCCTCAAACACCTCCACAATTCCTCCCCCACCTTTATGGCCTCATGAGAGGCATTGAACTGCTCAGCTTTAGTTTCCCCATCTATAAAACTGAAATATTATTACATATCTCATTCAAGGGAGTGTGTATTAGATGCTGTTTTCAAGTACTTTCAACCAGAAAACTCTATACAAGAGCTAAGCAATACTGTTAGCTCCCTTCTTCACATGTACAGTGCACAAGGCCCTCAAATGTGCAATGCACAGGGCTGCAGTTGCAGAACTAATATGTTAAATTTGCTTCTGATGAAAGGCCATGACTATTGTCCAGTTTAAAGTAATTCAATGGAAAAAGAAAAGATAGTATCTTATGTAGCTTAAAATCACTTTAGTACAGGGGTGGCCAATCTGAGCCTGAGAAGGAGCCAGAATTTACCAATGTACATTGCCAAAGAGCCACAGTAATATGTCAGCAACCCCCCATCAGCTCCCCCACCCCACTCCCAGCACCTCCCACCCACCGGCAGCCCCATAGATCAGCGCCTCCCCCACCCTCCCCATCAGCTGTTTCGTGGCATGCAGGAGGCTCAAGGGAGGGAGGTG